TTTAGCTGTCAATCAGGAACTTTAATCTATTGTAAATCATATGTCCAAAGTATCTGAATTTTTAATTCCACTTTGTTTTTCTTTCTGAGGCATAGAGAGAGGAAGAGATGGGGATTAATGTTTATTGAACACTATGCATAAAGGATCTTACTTTAATCCTTATAAACAACACTGTTAAGTATTATCATCTACATTTGTTTTAGGGGAGGAATCTGAGGCTCAGGGAGATTAATATGTCCAAGGCTATTAACCTTAGTAATTGATGGAACTGAGAATTAAATGCAGGTTTCCTCTCACATGCTACTTTGCCAATAATCTCTCTGACAGCAAGATAAATATATGACACAGAATTATTAATCTGAAAGTAAGCATTGTACCTAGCACAGTGCTGGGCACACAGTAGATGACCAACAAGGGGTAGGTGAGGAAATGGGATAAAGCATTAACTTAAGAATTGGAGCACCAGGCTCCAGAATCAAACTCTTGGGTTCATATGCTGGATTCATCACTCACCAAATATGTAACTTTGGGTAAGTCACACTTACCTCATCATGCCTCATTTTCCTCACATGGTAAAATACGGATAATAAAACCCATCTTTTAGGGTTGTTGTTTGGATTAATTGAGTTGATGCTAGTAAAATACTTAGAATAGTACCTGGCACATAATAAATTGAATACTACCTTTTAATTATGATTAGTCAGATAAACTTTACCACATTGTAGCCGTGTGAACTTGGGTAAGCCTCAGTTTCCTCATCTGTAAAATGGGGAAAATAATTTATTTTGCAGGAATATTTTATTTAACAAGCATATACTTTTATAGTCTTTGCTCTGTGCCAGGTACTGTTCTAACTGGTCTATATGTATCAACTCATGTATAGGTAGGTCTGGGTGAGGCCTGAGATTCTGCATTTGTAATAAGCTCCCAGGTAGCAAATACCTAATGTGGCAGGTACCATTCTGATTCCCACTTTCCAGATGAAGAAATTGAGGAACTGAGAGGTTAAATAATTTGTTTGAGGTCACATAACTGGTAATTAACTGAGCTGAGATTCAAAACCAGACTTTGCAGCTCCAGAGACTGAATTTGTAATTATTCCATGCTAGGAACCCAGTGAAATAATACCTGTAAAGCATCTGTCCGGTGCCTGGCACAGAGAAAAAGCTTAGTAGATGTCAGCTCCTCTCCCATCTTCTCAATAAATACCTTTTGAAATTCT